GAGAGAGAGAGCATGTGGACGAGTGAGCAAGAAGGTTGCTAGAGAAATGAAACAAAAACAAACAAACAAAAAAGAAAAAAAGAAAAAAAAATGTGAGAACTAGAGAGAGTTAAACGAAAAAGTAAGAAGTAAAAGCAAAAACTTAAAAAAAAAAAAAAAAAAAAAAAAACCCAAAATAAAAAAAAATCAAGAGCCCTTTCTCTATTTAAACGGGGGGGGCACTTCATCCACGGGCTGTGCTTAAAGTCACAGTATAATCAACTTTGTAGAATTATATTAGGATATAAGATAGTCGATTACATTGTTACAAAACTACCTACCGTTTTCTCTCTCCAGTAGGGGATTTTTTTAAAGGTTCTTTAGATAAAAAAAAAGTGGAAAAAAAAAGAAGAATAGAGGTAAATTAAGGTGTAGCGAGGCGGAATATATGCGCACGGGGGCACAGCCGTGGTACCCGCGTTCAAATTCATTTAAGAAGACAAAAATCTATTGTGATAAATTAATGGTGATCCAAGAAAGTATTTCCGCGGAAAATACTAAAGAAGAAAAAAAAAAAAAAAAAGTTAACGCAAAAAAAAAAAAAAAAAATCGAACGTCTCGACGTCCACTGGGGACACGAGACGCCGAGACGAAAAAACAGACAGACAGACAGACAAATCCGGTATGATGAGTTTTTGAGATTAACGCCGTCAGATCTGTCGGGAGAATCTGTTGATAGAAGGACCGATTGATCCTCGTCTTCGATATATACATATATATATACACATATATATATATATATATCAAAGAATAAAAAAAGTAAAAAAAAAAAAAAAATAAAAAAAAGAAAAAAAATTAATAAAAATCCTGTGTTGATCCTCCGGTGTTTAAGACAAAACTATGAAGTTTTTTGTAGCGAGGTAATGTTGTGCGGAGCGCGAATGGGAGAAAGAGAGAAAAGAAATTGAATTATGATAAAAAACTGTACACACGAGTCAATTCCAACGAGCATTTTCATGCCATTAAGCTTAAAGAATTATTAGTTAATAATGAAAACAAAACAAAAAAAGAAAAAAAAAGAGACGATAAGAGGGAAGGGTGCGAATGGAAGAAGAGGAAGAAAGAGAATAACAAATTCTTACACTCTTTTAATCATTGTTAATTAATTAATTAATTAATTAATCACGATCCTATCGATACTTAAAATGAGACGAGTAAAATAATAATTATTATTATATACACAAAACTATTATTATATTCATATTTTTGCTTATTACATATTTAAGAAAATATTAAACGAGGGCTAGCGAGTATAGTACATTACAAAAGAAAACAAAAAAAAAAAAAATGATTAAAAAGGATGAGAAAGGGGGAGCGAGGCCGATGGCGAAAAGGAAATCTCACTTTTTTAGGAATATTTTTAGTCTGTCGGGCTTGTACAACTTCGTGCGTGGCAATCAATTTTTCGAATTTTACCATTATAAATGTTATATATCTTTTTTCGAGAAGCGAAAATAAAAGTGAGGAGAGAAATTAGAATCTTTGTACACACGCCGAGATAAATGGATTTTCTTCTTCTTCTTTTTTTTTTTTTTTTTTTCTTCCGAGTTTCCGAGAGACAGTGGCCCGATCTTCGAACCGAGCAGCGGTTACGTCGCTTTTCCGATATTCGAGAACAAAAATAAAAAAAAAAAAAAAGGAATATTAAAACATAATTGATAATAAAAGGAAAAGTTTAATAAAATATTTGCACACAGTATTTTTCGGTCGTGATTTAAGAAAAGTTCCCATTAAGATGGAAAAGCCGACGCCGCGGACAAAATATTTCAGAAGTTCCCCATTATTATTCTTAGAATCGCATTAAATTACCACGTACATCAAGATTATCGAGGTTATGGAGAACATGGCGGGATTGAAAATGAATAAAAAAAAAAATGAGAAAATGCTAAAAAATAATATTAATTAAAAGACATCGCTAGGGTAGGCGCTTCGAGGATACATAAACTTTAAAAGTCACTTAATAAAAATTATTCTCAAAATATAAAAGTTTAATAAGTAAACAAATTTTTAAATCTACGTAAGAAAGCCAAGAGTCAAAGACGACTAGATGATAGGAGCCGCATGGCCTAACTGCTGCCACTTTAATTAATTATAAATAATTAATTATAACTTTATTACTACTTAATTAAAACTCGATACAAATGAGAAAATATGTCATGCCACTTTTCAAACTAAACTTTCTAGATGCAGAGACGAATCAGTAGGTATAGAAGACTATTAAAAGAAAACTTCTCTTCTAATTGGGAATGATTGATTCGCGCTATAGATTCGAATATTTCCAATTGTCCAGTCTCCAGAAAATCGCACGAGATTTATATACGCGTGTAAGATGCCTCGTTATAAACCAGCACGACTGTTCATTCGAAAATTGGCAAATCATTTCAAATTGCATAGGAATTCGTAACTCTGTCCTCGAAGAAATACACATACAGAAGTACATTTTTTTCAAACGAGCTAAAAAAAAATCTAACTATCGACGTCATCATATACGTGTTTCTTCATCTATCGGTCGAAAAAAAAGAAGAAAAAAAAAAAAAAAAAAGAAAATGGAGAAGCATTGCGATTGACTCCGCGAAGACAAGAGGAGAAAAAAGAAGAAAAAAAAAAATTGTACAAAAAAGAAAAAAAAAAAGAATTTTGCATGTCCACGCGTTTTTTACGAGATACGACGAGCTTCGATCTTGATGTCATGTTGGTGTATCACGGGTCATCCTGTAGAACGTTTGTATCACGATGTCGAAAAGGTCGAAACGATCGGATATCGGTGCCTAGCTCATGTTCTACTCACTGTTCCTTGATTAAGACGGTCACTTTGTACCTGCTTGCTGCCTGCCTGGCCCGTGCGTTACATAAACATATTTCTAGTCTTATCGAGGTGATCAATCCTCTGTATTTTACTCGATAATAACGTCCAAGCATGTCGCGTACTTTCGTTGTGATAATCCGACGGCGTGGCGTCCCGACGGCCCTTGCCGTCCATGCGGTTTTTCTACACGATATCGAGGAAGCGTAACGCCGATTAATTATTTGTTATATCCCATTCGATTTCGCGAAGAGCAACTATCCCGGAAGGTTGATGGTTTCGACAGCTGTTTCGACATCTACATCCAGCCGACGTTAAATTCACGTTCGAAAATTCACGAAGCTGATTTTCTTGGATACTATATAAATATATATATATATATATATATATGTATATATGTGTGTGTGTGTATATATATATACATATATACATACATATATATCTATATATATATACATACATACATACATATTTCCTTGCCTTGTCGGGCAAGACGTAACACGAACGATGATCGATTGTCGACACGTGGTCAATCCGGTTCCAAGGGAATCCATCTGATCGCGTGAATTTTGGAACGATGGCTGCAATAATTTAACAAGTTCGTGCTACTTTTAGTGGAAACGAATAATGGTAAAGGCTCCATCTCTTGTAATATTTTTATTATCGCAAACGTAATATTATTACATTATTAAATTATATTAAATAAAGGATTACGCCACTGTTTATTATTTATTGACTAACGTTCGACTAATATTGTAAATAATAACGAAAATATTTTATCTATATTTCCGATCCGGGGGTGTTGGGCGGGGCAGCGTATTACCTCTTGTCCGCCCTTATGGCGATCCTACGATCGCCGTTCGCCCACCCCCTATTGTTACACCATTTCATCATTGCATTTAATAAATTATATATTTATTGACTCACTTACCTTTTGACTTACCCCCGCTTATTTCTCTATTCTAGCTCTAGGCACTCGTCCAACACACCGCTACCGAATCGTCCTAATTTCCACGGCTGATTTTTTAACAGCAAGGTCGGCATTGGATCGAGAGAGAAAAAGAAAGGTGAGGTTTCGTTCCTTTTTTTTTTTTTCTTTTTTTCTTTTTATCATCTTTTTTCCGTTCCTCATTTCCGAAGGTTTGTTTTTTGTTGTTGTTGTTTGAACGAACAAGACATTTCTTTTTTTTTCTTCCTTTTTTTTTTTTTTCCATTTCTCTTTTATTACTTCCGCAACAATTCGTTTAAAGCATACAAACGGTACAAACTGTATGTGTATACTGTCACTTTGAATATAAATTAAATTAAATTACGCGGATATGATGTGCGTACGAGGAAGATGATAGAATGAGAGGAAGGGTAGAATAAGACGAGAGAGAAGTAAGTGATGTTCCCTTTTTTTTTGTTTTTTTTTTTTTTTTTCTCTTTAAGCTTAAATCCGATCGACGTCCGTAGAGAGAGTTTTTACTCGGTTCCAGTATTGATTTTCCGTCCCGACGTATTAACGAGATAAATTATTATTATACATCGGAATAAAATTCGAAAGAATTCTTGCCAATCGATACGAATATATATATATATATATATATATATTCCCTGGAGAGAAAAGAAATCGAAGTATTTTTTCCAATGATCTCCGATGATATCAAAGGGCTTCCCCGTAAGAAGATTAGCTTAGCGAAAAAAAAAAACAGGCTACAGATTTATTAATTCCTAAACGCAAACAAGCGGTTAACGCGACGTCTTCTCATCCGTTCATTATCGAAGCGCGCCTTTCGTCCTCCTCGTTTCCATCCGCTCGATTTTCCCGATTCAGGGGAAAAATCCGTCGAAAACCTCGATCGAGGTTATCCTCCATCATCGATTATCGCTCGACACGCCTTCTGAATCGCAGAAAAGACAGAGAAACGAAAACGAGAAAAACGAGAAGTCAGAACACTTGAACGCGATGATTCTCGCGATCGCAGACGACGATGTTACCGGCCGATGTGACGGCAACACCCTCCAGACCCTTGAATTCACCGTCACCGCTACCCCATCCGCCAAACGACTTGAGGAACGCCCCCTCCGGACTGAATATTTGTATTCTGTTGTTACCCGAGTCGGCGACCACGATGTAACCCTGGTCATCGACAGCGACACCCCTTGGAAACTTGAACTGACCCTCGTCGGAGCCCTCCGACCCGAACGAGGTCAGCACACGACCGTTCACGTCGAATATCTGGATACGATGGTTGTTCCCGTCGCTCACGATCACGCGATTCGTGTTGCTCACCGCGATGTAATGAGGATGTTCCAATTGGCCACGTCCGCTTCCGCAGGAACCGAATTTCCCCACGAACGTGCCGTCCGATTGAAATACCTGCGAAAACAGGACAGATGTATTGTGATACAATTGTCGGCGACAAGAATTATACGATCAAGATTTCGTTAGAAAGGATTATTATTCGTTCTACCAATTGAAAAATTTCGTTACAGCATTTTTCTTTTTTTTCTGGATTATTTTTCCATACGCAAGATACACCTCGTTAGCGGATGATAGACCTTATTTATATATGTGTATATATATATATTATTATTACCTACGATAGTGCGAAAATGATGCAAAATGATTAGAAAAAAAGAAGAAAAAAAAAGTGGGGGAGTTTAGTTCGCTTCGCTTTCGTAATCATCACTCACGCTTACGTCCATTACGTCGAATACGCCGTGCCTGGGTAAGTAAGTAAGAACCATATTCCCTTCTCCCTTTTTCCCGCTAACTTGATCGCATATTTATTTAGGAAGATTTCTCGTAGCTGGGCTCACACACGTATCTCGTATTTCGATGTTTGGGAAATACAAACAGAGAATTACTCGAAATTAATTGTTTATTGCAGAGAAAAATTCGTAGGCGTTTTTATTCAAGGATCAACTATACAAATTCTACACAGGTACACATAGCGGAAGAATCGAAAGGGAAGAGATTAACGACTGTAAATTAAACACTGTAATTAATTAAACACATATCATATCTGTATCATCATTATCGTATGTTCACGGTACAATATATAGAAGAAACGAGAGAGAAGTCTGACGATTCTCTAAAGATTCTTTGAGGGGGCGCGTCGCATGTAGCTGCACGACGCCGCCATATTCCTCCTCGCTCGTCAGATTATAATAAAACCGGATTATAATAAAGAGAAAAATAAGTATCAGTAACGCGAGGCCACGTACCTGTACGCGATGGTTCTCTTTATCGCACACATAAATAAATCCAAGAGCGTCCGTGGTGATTCCCCAAGGATAATTAAACCGACCGTCCGCGGTACCTTGGGAGCCAAACGCTCTCAGAAAACGACCGGAAGGATCGAGAACCTGAATTCTGTGGTTGTAACGATCCGCGATGATGTACTGCCCGATCCTGTTCACCGCTACCCCGGCGAGGCAATCGAATTCACCCTCGCCGCTGCCGTACGATCCGAACTCCTTCATGAAGTTCCCGTTGCAGTCGAATACCTGTGTGTAACGATTTCATCGTATTACATCGACGAAAATATTGTCGTTCTTTCAAAAAATATATATATATATATCTGGATTACTTGAACACGATGGTTAGAACTGTCGGCCACTACGATGGAGTTGTCAGGGCCAACCGCGAGGCCTCTGGGCCAAGTAAAGCATCCGGGTTCGCTCCCCCGCATCCCGAACTTGAACAGCTGCCGCCGCTTCAGCAAGTAGTGACTCCTCCGCCCATTGCTGTCGCATTTCAATATTAGATTTAAAGTAATCCTTCTTCTTTTTTTTTCTTATTCAAAAACTTTCTTCTTCTTATTATTATTTATATATCGCGTGTATACATTTTTTTCTTTAAACGACCAAGTATAAACTCACCTAGTGGAGGAACCTGCTGCCGCGGGTATAACGGGAGCTGCCTGTATAGGGGACGTGGGGGAGCCTGACGGGTTTTTTTGATCGTCGTCAGAAGATTCGAAGGACGTTTGACCACCGTGCCTCAAAGGTAATCCGAGCGATAACCTCCTCGAGGTGCTTCCACTGATTTCCCAAGAAAAAAGAAAAAAAAGACAGGAAGAAATATTTCGATCGATTCAATCGAATTTCTCGTCTCACCTCGATGATGGAATCGTCGAGGCGGAGGACGAAGGCTCTTTATCTTTGCTCGTGCGATTCCCGTACTTGTTCTTCAAGTATCGCGCCCACGAACTTAGAGCCGCGCCATCCTTCTCGGCACCCACCCTGTCCCGCTCCGGGCTCGGCTCCCTCGATTTCAAGGCGTGAGTGCTCCGACTCCTGGCCAGCTCGGAACCGGCGCCGTACTTGGCCGCCAAGTAGGCGTTGGGCGACTGGGTGGTCGGAGAGGGTGGCTCCTCGTCGAGGTCGAGGTCATCTCCGCCGAAATTGTGCGAGCTTCTGGACCGAGCCAGCCGTTGCCTTCTTTCCTTCAACGCGGCGTACCGCGACCTCGTCGACAGGGGCGAATCCGCGTCCACGTCCACGTCTCGTTCTCTCTCCCGTTCCCTTTCTCTTTCGCGTTCTCGTTCTCGTTCGCGTTCTCGTTCTCTTTCGCGCTCCCGGCTGGCCATCATCGCCGCCTGGCTTCTGCTCTTGTTCAGGAACCTGCAACATCCCGGAACGAAGGTCGGTTCGTTCAGATCGGCCTTGTTAATCAAGAGGAGGAACAGAGTGAGAGAGAAAGAGAGAGAGAGAAGCCTGTTACTGTTCGCGGAGATTGGGGGAAGGAGGAGGAAGAAAGGGTCGACAGGCCTTCATCGATACAGTGGTGGATATGCATGGTTATCAAAGATTGTCGTTTGTACGAGTGAAACGGTTGTTCGCGTTGTTTGTCGCAAGCGATCGATTCGCGAATCCGTTCTCTTGGATCATCTCTTGGGTTATCTCGAGCGAAAATGCGGAAAACTGCGGAAGCTATTGAAAAATCCTTTCCAAATCCTCGAAGCTGTTAACTTGCCTTGAGTTATATATATGTGCATATGTGTGATTTAGTAACAATGTGTTACGTCGCATGAATGCGAGTCACATGAATCTTTGATGGACGAGATATCGTTTTGAATGGTGTACAGCAAGCATCTCGGGGATAACCGATAATTTCTATCAACCGATCTTCTAATCATATTGATATTCGTATTCGTTGATAATCATACGTACGTCTCCTAGTCTCCCGATAGTCACATCAGTGCTACATTTTCTCGCTATTATATCGCTTCGAGTGTTAGTTACCATTCCATAGCGGGATCCGTGGGTCAATTAGTCACAACGGTGGTGTAAATCTGGCGTGTGATCAACCGTGTGTTTCCACGGTAGTCGTACGAGTAGTGAAAACGGATGGGCTATCGCGTGTTAGTACATCAATCTGTAGTACTTGATATGTCACTTGTTTATCACCAGGACCTATCATAAATCCTGTGAAATGGAGAGCGATCCTTGTTGTATCGCAAGCAATTTTATTTCGTAATTCGTTATCGAAAGTTCGTTGCATTTAATTTTAAACCGATTTCTCTTTCCTCTTCCTTTTTTCTTCTTTTTTCGTCGATCGCGATTTATCAAAGCTATTATTGCTTTCGAACTCGCGCGTTATCCACGCGAGAACGTATAAAAGGAGTCGATTTTTTTCACGAGATTTTACGAGCCAGGAATTTCCAATATCTTTCTTCAATCGGATCTCTTTTATATTTTCGCGTACGCGTGTCGTTTCACCGTTCGAAAAATTAATTCTCCTTTTTCTTCGTCGAACTTGTCGTTTTTCTCGTACTCGAATACATATTTCTCAGAATCATGCCCCCGTTCGAACACGATAACTTTCGACCACGATAAACCTTTCTCCCTCTTTTTTTTTAATATATACAAGGCAGATACGTATATGGATAGGAGCGAAGTTACTGGAAACGATAGTCGTAAAATTTTAAGACCGCTATGTTTTCTCGATCTTCCAACTTTGCGTCGTCCATGCACTCGAGTTGCATCGAATTTTCCAAAGTTGCGTTGCTTCATATCGATGTTTTCATAACACATTTCGAAACACACACACATACACACACACATATGTATATATACACGTACAATTTCTCGTGACGAGAATTTTTCGTGCCGCCCGTTTTAAAAAATTGAAATCTACCACCACGGTTTTAATGGATGTCGAAAACGATAAAACGTGTTGGAATAACATCCGTGTTTCCAGTCAAGCGGATTACAGACCGATATAGCCCCGCTGACTATCCGAGTTGTAGCGGATATTTAAAGCAACAAACGGGTTATATTTAAACCCTTTAGTGCATGCCTGACCACTTTCCGTGTCGCGTACAATGCGGTCACATTAGTTCCGTTTGTAATATCTGCCTGTTGTGTATCTCTAATTTGCATTTCCGATTTTGGGGATTACGCGCGTGTATTTAATTATCGATAAAATTTATTACGTTATATTACGGGCAAATCGGAATAATTCGATCAAATTTCGAAGAAGCTTTTACGAATTTCAAAATTTCTTCAAGCCCTTCTGTTAAATTTATCGAAAATTGTCGATCGATGTAATTTGCACGACGGGTCTCCGTTTTAAAATTATTTCCTTCCCCCCCTCTCTCTCTCTCCTCTCTCTCTCTCTCTCTCTCTCTCTCTCTCTCTTCTTCTTCTTCTTCTTACTTA